TTTCTGTTTACCAAGTCTGATTAACCTGATATCATCTGTATAGTGAACCAACATGATATAGAGCAGAAGATAAAGATGGTGAAGATTCCTATGGACAACCTTGTGGCAAAGAGAATGAAAGTCAAGCTAACCAGGGCCAAGACAATATATATGTATACTCTAGAGTCCTGGTGTGGCGCTGTGGGTTAATGTGCCAGACTGTAAAGCAGTTTGAAATGCAAGGTTGGCAGTTCAAACTTACCAGCTGTTACTCAGAAAAACCTATACAGGGTCGCTATTGGTCGGAACCTACTTGATGGCGCTTAACATCAACAACAACAATTCCTCTCTTAGGAAATGCTAGTTGCGTTGACTCTCTTGGTTGATTAGGATTAAAAGAGTCTATTTGCTAGATTCATAACTACATATCAACTATCAGATTACACCTGGCATGGAAACTATAACTGCTTAAATTGACTACATTCCACTGCCATCTGCCATGATCCATTTAGTTTTTGCAACGTCGGACTGTACAGAAACACAGTGAGTACTGACACTTGTCATAGAACTGATTCTGACTCATGCAGATCCTATGGGTGTCAGGGTAGCACTGTGCTCTACGGGGCTGTCAGTGGCTGCATTTTTGGAAGTAGATTGCAGGTCTTTCTTTTGAAGTGACTTTGAGAAGACTTGCACCTTCTTTTGGCTAGTAGCTGAGTATGTTGACTGTTATACTACCTAGGTACTGCATAGTGAGTACTACTATCCACTCATCCTTTACGTCTTTGAGGGTGTCTCTAACTGCTGCAATCCTACCAAGAACGTTGTATCACTTCTGGCTTGTTATCTTGTTTGTTAGCTGCTTCCACTTAATCCTTCTCTGCATATGGGTCTTAATTCTCATGTCATGGAACCAACTTAAGGGTTTAGTCAGTTGCTTAGTTTATTCATTCTAGCGATACACTCAGGTAGTAGAGAAATTACAATAAGAAGGGTGTGAGAATTATTTGAACTCTGCAAAATGGACTTGATCCAGGACCTTATTTATCTTCTGGCTTCCATTAGCCTCCTCTTATTGTAGAGAAATTACAATAAGAAGGGTGTGAGAATTATTTGAACTCTGCAAAATGGACTTGATCCAGGACCTTATTTATCTTCTGGCTTCCATTAGCCTCCTCTCTGTATGGGGGGCAGGATGGACGTTTGCATCCCTTTTTTGCTGTCAGCTTATACCTGTGGTTCATCAGCTCTGGTTCAATATGAGGAGCACAGAAAAGAGAGAATTAAGAGAGTGAGGCTATGGTATTTATTTTCTTGGCTTCCTCTTAGCAGAATCCCTGTACTCTTGCTGCATCCCTTTGTCGAGGACCACACTGTCCCCTCTATTTCCTTTTCCTTCAGTCCTACATGTAAAAATGATGTTCACACTGTTACCAACTCTAGAGGTATCCAGTTTATAGGTACAAATCTATACTATCCAGTTTAATTATTCTACTTCTACACAACATAGCATATTGTTGCTGTTGCTAATTGCTGTTGAGTTGGTTCCAACTCAAAGCTACTCTATATAGGGTTTCTGAGGAGCAGTTGGTGAGTTTGAACTGCCCATCTGGTGATTCAAACTAACCTTGTGGTACAGTGCTTTATCCTACAATGCCACACACAACATAGTGTATAGTCTCTTAATTAGATGCTCCTCAAATTACCCAATTTGAATCAGCTATTTCTTTCCTGTTGGCATGCTGACTGATGTTGAGGGAACCTGGTTGTATGTATTGAAGTCTTAAAAATTGCCTTAACAATTTCCATTCTGAAATTAGCTTAAGGTATTACTCAGAGATACACACTGGAATGTTTACAAAGGGAGGCTCACCATACAATAGAAAATATATTAAACATTGTATGTTGAGATACTTTGCAACCAATAAAAATCAAGTTATACCCCTATTAAGTTGTAATAAGCATAGGAATTTACATATAAAATATTAATGCAGGTATCAACTACAAACAACCACAAAACAACCCGTATAGCATAAAATCATTTGTATATCTATTATGTGCCATAGATTCAGTTCCGACTCATAGCGATCCTATATAGGGTTTCTGAGGCTGTAAATCCTACAGGAGCAGATAGCCTCATCTTTCTCCCATGGACCAGGTGGTAGTTTTGAACTGCTGACCTAGACGTTAGTAGTCTGATTCATAACCACTATGCTACCAGAGCTCCTTCATTTTTAGCTGTGAGTAATTTATGTACTATTGTGGGTATATAGATATAAAAAAATTTCCTTATAATAAAAATAAATATATCTACATCCACACAATAATACTTAAATTATTCACAGAAAGATGCTAATCATGGTTTGATTTGGGATTTGGAAATATGGAACCTTTTGTAATTCTTTTGTTCTTCCTTGATTATGATTCCTAAGGTGTTTTTACTGAACATGAATTCATTTTTGAAATTAGAAATAAAAAAGCAGGTAAAAACTAACAAGTAAAGAAACCTAAATCAGGAATTGGGAGGCAGAGAATGGACTTGTTTTCTCAGCTAGAGACAAAAGAGAGGATTGCTTTCATTAGAACAGAAATTTGGGGGAAATAGGATGAACAAGGTTTTGGAACAGGTTATTAATTCAATTTTGGACACCAATGGACACTTAAAACAATAAACAACAAATAATAACATGAAAAAGATTAAAGTTCCAGGAGTTTCCAGGAAAACCAATAAAATTTATTGGACAGAATAAATGGTTAGGAAATTTTGACCTAATGCCTCTACTACATAAAGGCTGAATTTGATAAAATGTGTGGAAACACTTTGTAAAACTCAAAATCACTGCATATGTTGTTGTTGTTCTTTGGTGTCATTGAGTCAATTCCTACTCATGGCTACCCTTTGCGCAGCAAAATGAACACTGGTTGGTTCTAAGACATCCTCACAATTGTTACTATGCTTGAGCCCATTGCTGCTGCCACTGTGCCAATCCATCTCTTTGGGGGATCTATCTTTTTTTCACTGACCCTCCACTTTACCAAGCATGATGTCCTTCTCCAGGAACTGGTCCCTCCTGATAACATGTCTGAAATATGAGAGACAAAGTCTTGCTATCTTGGTTTCTAAGGAGCATTCTGGTTGTACTTCTTCCAACACAAATTTGTTTGTTCTTCTGGCACTCCATGGTATTTTCAATATTCTTCTGCAACATGATAACTCAATTGCATCATTTCTTTTATAATCTTCCCCATTCATTTTCCAACTTTTACATACATATTAAGTGACTGAAAATACAATGGCTTGGGTCAGGTGCTCTTAGTCCTCAAACTATTATTATCTTTGCTCTTTAAAGGTCTTGTTTAGCAGATTTGCCTAATGCAATACGTCATTTGATTTCTTGGCTGCTGCTTCCATGAGTGTTGATATTTGATGCATGAAGAATGAAATCCTTGACAACTTCAATCTTTGTTCTGTTGATAAGAATGTGTTTATTGGTCCAGTAGTGAGGATTTTTATTTTCTTTTCATTGAGATGTAATCCATATCAAAGGCTATGCTCTTTGATCTTCATCAGTAAGGATTTTAAGTTCTCTTCACTTTCAGTAAACAAGGTTGTATGTATCATCTGCAAGTGCAGGTTGTTAATAAGTCTTCATTCAATCTTGATGCCATGTTTTTCTTCAAATAACTCTGCTTCTTGGATTATTTTTTTCAGCATACAGATTGACTAAGTATGGTGAAAGAATACAACCCGGTCATACATCTTTCTTAATTTTAAACAACATGTTCCATGTTCTATTTGAACAACTGCCTCTTGGTGCATGTACAGATTCCTCATGAGCACAATTAAGTGTTCAGGAATACTCATACTTCACAATGTTGGCCATAGTTTGTCATGATCCACGCAACTGAAAGCCTTTGAGTAGTCAATATAGCACAGGTAAACATCTTTCTGATATTCTCTGCTTTCAGCCAAGATCCATCGGCCATCAGCAATGATATCACTAGTTCCACAGCTTCTTCTGAATCTGGCTTGAATCTCTGGAAGTTCTCTGTCAATGTATGCTTGTAGCCATTTCTGTATTACCTTTGGTAATACATAAATTACCATTTCATTAATGCCTAGGATATCGATCTTTATGCATTCCATTTCATTTTTGACAACTTCCAATTTTCCTAGATTCATATTCCATACATTACATATTCTGATTATTAATGGATGTTTGCAGATGTTTCTCTTCATTTTGACTTGTGCTCCCATCATCAAATGAAGGTCCTGAAAACTTTACTCCATTCACATCATCATGGTCAACTGTACTTTGAGGAGACAGCTCTTCCCTAGTCATATTTTGAGTGACTTCCAACCTAAGCGGCTCATCTTCTGACACTATGCTGTTGTTGTGAAGTGCCGTGAAATCAGTTCCAACCCATAGCAACCCTATATAGAGTTTTATGAAGCTTTATATCTTTGCAGGAGCAGATCTGACAATATCCGGGAACTATTCAAAATGTTTTCATGTTTTGGTACTACACATGGAAAAGTTCTACTTCTATTTATAAGGTTTTTAGTGGCTAAAGATTCAAGAGTCCTGGTGTGGCATTGTAGGGTTAGCATTGAACTACTAACGACAAGGTCGGCAGTTCAAATACACCAGTTCCTCCTTGGAAACCCTATAAAGGGTAGCTATAAGACATAACTGATTCATCAGCACTTAACAACAGCAAACATTCAGAAGTAGTCTGCCTGTTCATCTTCTTAGTCTATCTTAGTCTGACAGCTCTGCTGAAACCTGTCCACTATGGGTGACCTTGCTGGTATTAAACATACCAGTGGCCACAAGCCACCGCATTATGATATACTGACAGACAAGTTGTGGTGGTTCTTATATATAATTTTTTTTCCTTTAAGAGAAATGAATGATACTCTCTCTAGATACCCAAACCACTTCCTTGACTTTTGAACAGATGCTGAGGTCTAAGGTTTTTGTAAGACTCTCCTTGTTGCTTAGCTCACTGTGAGATACTGTAAGCACAGAAATACATCGCAGCGTCCTCCAGTTGTGAGTCAGAGATCATGAGGTTGATGGACTTGGCTGCTTTCTGGAAATTCACAGAATAGCGATTCTGTGGCGCAGTCTGTGGATTAAAACTTTCTTGCTGAATAATGAAAATCATCTCCCTGCTGGAAGGCTGTTTGTACCAGAACAAGTAATAATAAGAGTCACTAGTATCATACGTGCATTCCAGGGTCACTGTCTGTGCTTCCTGGACAGATATTTGTCGTTGAGACTGAGTGACTGTCTGCGCCATGCTGAATTCTGTGGGAAAGAGGAGAGAGAGAAGGCACAGTGTTGAGGTGTGTCAGCAGAGACAAAGCAGACAGACTCTAGAATTGCTTTCCATTATATCCCACCTTTCTCTTCCACATCCAAATCCAGGCCAAAAATATCAACTTTCTTTCTCTCAGTAACTGAATCCAATGAGGCAATGAATTTTCTACGCTATTAATCTCTCTTGCTTTGCAGTCCCCTTGTTGTTAGCTGACATTTAATTGGCTCCATGGTGACCTTGTGTCACTGCTCTGTCCTGCACTATCTCTATTATCTTTGCTATGTTGGAGCCTCTTGTTAATGCTATTACATCATCAATCCATCTACAAAACTGGCACCATTCTTACCAAGACAGGTGGAGACTGCAACAACCCACAGGAAACTGACAAGCTTCATGCTTGTAGCTCTCCCTCCTGGGTGAAAAGTCTTCTGCCTGGATCTGGGTTCTCATCTGTGCTTGGTGATACTTCTGCTTCATAGCAGGAAATGGTATGACAGGTGGGCGGGCAATTATGTCCTGTTGACAAATGTTTCTCCAGAACTTTTTCACCTCTCTTTTAGAAAATTGACTCTTGATTAAAATTTCAAATAAAAGTAAAAACTTTTCTGAGTTATTTTATTCTAGGACCAATATTAAGAGGAAACCGAACTGGCAAATTTATTTTTGGTAAATCTTGATAGATTTTCCCCCCCTTACCTTGGAAAGGAGAATGGTGGACCAAAGTGGCAGTGTGTAATCTTTAACAATGGCAAACATTTTGTTGTCTTTAATTTCTTTTTTAATTAAAATTACTAGGTAATATGAAAATGCAGATGCTATATTAATAATTTCTACTACAATTTTTTTTTTTATGATTTCTCAAAATTCACAAAGAATATGAAAACAAATCTATGCTAGTGACCTAAAGACTTTTGGCATGGTGCTGTAGGCTCAGCACTGGGCTGTGAAACACAGCATCAGCCGTTTAAACTTACCAATTGTTCCTTGGAAACCCTAATACTGGGTCACTATGAGTTAGAACTGACTGGACGGCATTTAACAATAATAACAACAACAGTGACCTAGAAGAGTACTGACTGAATTCAGAGATAAGTGGAAGCAGGACATGGATCGCTCCATCATGTTTATGGTTTCCATGGAGACCTTGTTTTATAAACCTAGTTTGTGCTGTAATTAGGAGCTCTGAAATAGCTGGTGCAGAAGTTCTGAATTAGCCTCAAACAACACATGTTAAGAGTTGTTTTCTTCAGTCCCTTTAGAGGAAATATTGTGGATATTGAATTTTTTTAGAAACCTCACTTGATTTCTTAGGAGTCTGGTGGCACAGTGGTTAAGTGCTCAGTCTTCCAAATTTCTTGGCAGAGATGAGTAAGTGCCTCCTGTGCCACCTCACTTTTTTGAAAGGTTTCAATTTTTATTCCATCAATTCCTGGTGCCTTGTTCTTTGCCAATTCCTTCAATGCACATTGGACTTCCTCCTTAAGTATCATTGGCTCTTGATCATATGCTACCTCTTGCAATGGTTGAACATTAACCATTTTCTTTTGGTACAGT